TGTGCAAGCTATATCAATGCTGCACAATCAACAACTTTATGACAGACGTATGACTGTAAGACTTGATAGAGCAAATGAACCAGATATGCCACCAAAATTACCAGAAGGTACATCTTTATGATCTATCCTACTTTTTTATATAAAAGATCCTACTTTTTCATATAAACATACAAATTAATATTATTTTTAAAATAGGTTTAAAGGGAATTGGAATGGGACTTGGAGCTGGTGGTAATAGACTAATGGATGTAGCTAGAAACATTCCTAATGTACAAGCAAATAATCCACCCGTTGTGAATCCTATTTCTGCTCCTGTATTGGCTGCTGGTGCTTTTGGGGCTGGTTTAAATAATGTTGTACCAGCACAATTAGGTAAAATTTATTATAAATATGACATATAATAAAATAAATTATGAAGTTAACAAAAATATATTTGTATATTTATTATAGCATCTGCGTTGACAAATACAAATGCAGCAGCTCTTCAAGCAAGTCTTGCTGGAGGTTTGAGCGCTAACCTGACCACGAGTTCTTTGCTAAATTCGTCATTAACAAATGAATTGGCTTCTAATCTAAATAACTTCGGCGGAGGAGTTGGAGGTTTGTCTAATTTACAAGCCTCTTTAGCTGGTGGACAAAGCAACAATTCATTTGCGCCGCGAGGCTTATCTAAAATGGACAATGATGTAGGCTTCGGTGGAAACAATGCTTTTGGTGGTTCTAACTTCGGTGGGGGCAGAGATTTTGATGGTGGATTCAACAGAGGAGACAACGATCGTGTTCCTGGTGGAGGTGGTGGTTTCGCTGGAAATCAAGGACAAGGTGGAGGTGGCAACAGACAAAATACAAATGGTTCACGGCCAATGTCGGATACTATTCTTATAGGAAATGTATGTACTTTTTTTAAAATTTATATATGAAAATTAATTTTTATAATTTTTTTAATACATAATAATTATAACAGCTTCCTCCAAATACAACATGGCAAATGTTGCGCGATAAATTCCAAGATGTTGGAGAGGTCAAATTTGCTGAAATGCGGGGTACTGATATGGGCATGGTACGATTCGCATCTGAATGGGATGCTGAACGCGCTGTGTGTATCCTTTTTAAAGTTTTAATCATAAAAACGTATAATAATACGAATCATTTTTACATTAAATATACATATTAAAATAAATTTAATATTTGCAAAGATTTTTCTTAACGATTTTTATATATAGCTATGATGAATCGGTCACGTATCGATGGCAGAACGATCGATGTTCGCCTTTACTAAAAACTGGAAACTCAAGGTAACATTAATAGAGAACTTCTGCAGAATTTGACGCTTAACCATAACTTATTGATGCAGCGAGAGGAGACTGGGTGTTCGTATGTCGTCTGCAGGATTGTTCCACTCCTGATGACAATACTTGAAATTCATCCTAGTAGTGTGGCAGAACTTAGGACAGTGGGTGAGAAGTATCTGTCGTTGGAAGATCAACAGTTGTGTTTTATGCCTACTTCAACGTTGAAACACTTATTGGCTGCCGATGATCACCCTTCCTTGCTACGACTATTTCATTCGAAATTCTTTTACCAGATTATCGTTCCTTTTTACAGTGGAAGTCTACTAATTGTTCACTCTTAAATTAATTTTTTCGAGTGATCGATACATAGTTTAGTTGTTAGATTTAGGTTCATAATGTTCTACGTAATCTATAGGTTTTTCAGTATATAGGTTTATGCTATTTACAGTAATTATCAAATGTAACTTGTAAGTTTATTTCTTAGTTTTCACGATGAGAGATCAATCGATTTTCCCACATTCCGATTGAACATGACGCTTTGGTCGTTCGCGGAGTGGTTTATCGAGCAGGGACAGATTAATCTTTCAAGCATAAATATTAACGCGATATAGCTGTTACGGATTTTACGAGTTAAAGTTTATCTATGTATGATAGATACTTTCATGCACAATCCTACACAGATCGTGGACGTGTGTCGATTTGTCTGTGGTATCGTCGCACTTTATTCTTGTATCCAATACATAGCAAGATACATCATGGCTCAACAGGGGACTATATTGTTTTCATTGTAGCTCTGCGATTTGATCTTTTATTCGTCGCGCCACATCGTTCTAGTAACTTGGAGATTCAATTGTAGTTGAGCATACAAAATTTTAGTTGTCATTAGGAAGATCCCTTTCAGTTCACTCGTTTCGAGACTTCAGTGAACAAATATTGGATGACTTGTCTTATATATAGCAGAATTTGTCTTACTTATTGTGCAACAATAATATGTTTACCAAAAAATACAAAATATCTTTGTCTAAGGAACAATTTTTAATATCTTTCGGATTTTAAGAAATCGAGTAACAGCTCTTTTCAACTAATTTTATAAATATATTCTTTGGTAAACATATTTCCTCTCGCCATGTAGATTTCGAGGAACATTCTGCGCATTGTATAACACTCTTGTATAACCACGACATCATGACAGTGATTGAATAAAATCCAAATCCGTTTTGACTACAAAAAATATGCTCGTCGTTGTGTTTTATTTCTGTGTTGTTGTGATTCTTTATACTTTAAGCAGGTTTAAACTGGATATGCATTGGCATAGAGGATATCGTTTCTGTTACTTTTATGTGTGCAATACATTTACCTGAATAACTTTTTTCAAATGTATTGCACTTAAGCAAAAATTTCTGCTTAAAAATTTTATAATTGTACCTCTACATAGTAGTGTACTCCATGCTTACTTTTGAAATCTGTAAGCTTCACAATCTATGAGATATAAATATTTGTTTACATCGCAGGTGAGATATTTTTCAGGTGATTGTGGTTTTCTATTCCTCTATGATGAATATATTTCAAGAAGGAATAATTTGCTTGAAATTGATCAAATATTTGTTCTTTCATCAATGTCCAATGGAATGCATCATTAAAGTAATATTCGAATTATTAAGTTATATATAGTATTCTTCTTATAAGTATTAACAATTTTACTATTGATTGAAGTAGTGGATTTTACAGGTTTTGAAAAAGTTAAAACTTTGGTAATGTAGCATTTCATCTTTAACATTGTGGTTGATTCTTATTTTATTGTAGCATCGAGACCGCATCTTCCGCATTATTTATTAAAAAGTAGTTTAAATGATTGCAAAAATCTATATTTTAAGTGAATTTATATAAAGTAAGAAACAATTACTTTCATAACTTGATACTATAACTTGTATGGTAAGTGGTGGTAAATATATTATGCTCTAGTCTTTGCCAATTAAATATTTTATGTGTGTTCAAATCACTATGCGTATGGAATTTTTTAATAACCATCGTCGATCTCCGCTGTGTGGTTGCCAAATTTGTTTCTTAACATTTGAAGGATGTGGTCTTTTTTTTCTTATAATGTCATTGAAGTCAGATAGGGTCTTATTTTATAACGCATGAGATCGTGTGCAATGGTTTGTTGTATTATTTCCATCGTAAGTGATTGATCAGTTGTGTTTTATTATTCTATGAGATATTTTGGAAGAAGGATGTTACGTGTTTCGACAAATATGGGAAAATAGGGATATAGTATCTCCTCTTTGATATCGTTTAAACGTTCATTGTCGAAATTGTTTGAATATGTGCCTGAAAATAAAATTTTATTATGGAGGATCAGACTAAATATATTTTGAGTATATTAATCATTTTTAAATTGCGGCTAACACCTTACAGGAAAGTTGGGTAAGTTACAGGATTTGTACAACAGATTTTTATGAATGTGTTGTTCTTCCAGGAAAGCTAACTCATCCAAGTGAAAGGTAATTGAGCGGTAAGTTTTGTAGGATGAAAATCCATTGGAATATTATTAAATAAAAATAAATGAGAAAATCTCAATATATTATTAATCACACCTGTATTTCCACAGTCTTCATATTATAAAACAGTTAAATTGGGTGACTTTGAATGTAAGATACTTTTTTTGTAGAGAATTGCAGTGTCTGTGTAAGAATAAAAAGTGCGTGAATGTAATTATTAAAACAGAAAGGTGTTCCAAAAGTACAAAAATTACGTCAAGATTTTAATAAAATTATAAATTCTAGATGCATTATTGTGAGGAAATTGTTACAGTCGTGCTACTTAGTGTCAAGTGTATTTGTTATTTTCAAAAAAAGCACCTTACTAAACACACCTCGCATATTTAATTCTTATATATAATCTATATAATATTTATTATGTATATGTATATTTATCACATTTTAAATAAAGGTAACCTTAAAAATTATAAATTAATATAATATGAATGTAATTTTAAATGTTTCTATTAGCAAATTGTTTTAAGTAATAAATTTCAAATACATTTTAATAATGTCTAGTAAATGAAAACACTTACATTTGTATGTAAAATAAAAATTTTATAACTGAAAAATTTTAACTTATAACTTCGCTTTTCCTTATCTTTCTAATATAAAAGTATATAATTTATTTTTAAGTTAATCTATACTATATCAAAAAGTGTATTACAGAATCTTATTCCTGTTTTTATTTTTTCATATAACAGTAAGAATAAAAATAATTTCTATGATTATACAATTTTTCAATTTAATATATTCAAGTTATAATTAAATGTTATCAACGCAACATGTATATTATGGCTTGTAATGGGGTTTATGTATAAGGGAAAAGCTGTCAGTAATAAGTAATAAAATCATATTAATTGATATTTTTAAATCATAGTAAACCACCACAGTTAATAATTTTTATATATCAAATGTTTTGTTTAATTGATATATAATGATTAATAAAAATATTTTTGAATTAATTTGATTTTCAATATATTATTTAAATTATAATTTCTTCTTTAAGCGTCAAAATTATTTGAACCATCAAAATAATTTCATATTGAAATATTTCATAATTTTGGAATATTTAAAATCCAGATTTAACAAAAAAAATAGTACTGACAGTATACATTATATGTATCAATTTATCGTGTTATTATACATATAACAATTTTCTTTTGAAGATAGATTTGATACTTTCTTGTATTCGAAAATGTTCTAACACTAATTTTGCACTTTCGAAAGATATAAAACTTTTATCGTCGATTTTTCTTATCATTTAGATAACAAATAAATATCTCTCGTGGCATCCTAAACGACAGCCTGTTATATAATAACACTAGTGCATTAGAACGAAATCTTGAAGATTTTTTGGAACAAATGAAATGTCATATGTTTTTCTAACTACTCTGGCTGCTAAACAAGCAAGTGTAGTGTATTTAACGAGATACACTGCATCATAAGGGCGTTTACGCCATGTTAACTTTTCAAATGTATCACCAGATTTATTAACAGCATCGATATGAGCACCAGCATCAAGAAGAATAGTAAATAGATCAAGTGACGGATAATGATAGGCAGCAAGATGTAATACTGTATTGTCGGTCATGTCTGTTGCTGTAACATCAGCCCCAACTCTTATAAGAGCTTTTATTAAATTTGGTGAAGGGAACCTATAAGTTGGAGATTTTGGACCAGCCCCAAGTACAATATGCCTTTCACGAAATACTAAATGCAGTACATTTCCACCCTACAGAAAAATACAAAAAAAATTAATTATTGGAAATTATTATATATTAATATATTTTTTAAATATTAAATCATTAACTTACATTTCTATCTTTGGCATTTATTCGAACTAATTCATAAAGCGCTTGATGTAATGCAGTATATTCTGCAGTATCTTTTTCTGGCATTTCATGAGTCAATAAACTTGCTAGATGCAAAGTAGTTAAAAGAACTTTATCCAAATACACAATATCACGTCCACGAGTTGGTCCTTTATCCATCATTTGTTTTCCCAATTTCACTTCCAACACCTAAAACAATATATATTAAAAATAATATATTGTAATATAATATATATAATATTATATTTGCAAACAAATAATAAAATTTTATAATAATAATTATTTTTAAAACGTACAGCTTTCTTAAATACTCTAAGAAGTTCTTCTCTTTGAACGGGCGGCACTCTTCGCCCTGTATTTATTTGTCTACCTATCATAAAGCTAAAAAGTTCGGTAAAACTAAAGAGTGAACTTTGAGTCATTGGATCGAGTGGTTCCAGCATACTCTGCTGCATGTCCAAAGCATAATTCCAAAGTTCTATACAACGATTGAACATTCCACCATCTGCGTATACTGCTCCTCTGTAGCGAATATAATAACTAGTATCGGGATGAGCTGGTCCTAATATTCGTTCTCTAATTACGAGAGCTTGCATTCGCATTTCATCTGGATCGTTTAATAATCCATTTAGAGCATCAGGGTCAGTAATTTCTCGTGCGAAGTCGTAAGCAGCTACAACGGGTGATGGTGGTGGTTTCGGTATTACTGGATCACCTCGATATCTAAAATACAATATTAATAAATATTTAAATAATCTATAGATATCATAAAACGCATAAAAATTATACATAAAGAACAAATATATAAAACTTTTACAAACCTCTCGTCCATTGCTTGTTTCCAACATTCAAGTGCTCCCATCATATCTCTCTTTTTATCTACGTATGTGGCACCTAATAATTCCAATGCATCTATACGTTCTTTTCTACTTACTAAGTTTGGTATACTAATAAAATATTCGACAATGTGCTTATGGCCTGTAAAATCGAAAAGATTTTATAATAATTAAATGCCATAATACACTATCGACTAGTTATCAATAACTACTTCGATGATTACTAGCTTCAAGAAAACATATAATCTCTTACGCATGTGAAACCGTAATCACGTACATAGGAGTTCATACGTTCTCTTAAACTTAGTTGCTGACGATCTAATCTTTGACGACTAGTCGACAGTGCGTAACAGCATTATTTTTAGAGTGTTTCTTCGTTTATATAATGAAACACTCATGTCAGTTAAGCATTAATTGTAATCGTCTTAAGGGAACCTTCGGGGTTGCGCGTGGAACATTCTGCTTTAACCTGTTACTGCTGCCGTAAGGAGTGGTGACATCCCGTAGGAGTCCACGCCCATTCGGGCACCATGCTCGATGAGTACCTTGACGACTTCTAAGGATCCACTTTCAGCGCAATCGTGAAGTGCCGTATTACCCTTCTTAGATTTTCGGTTCACGTTTGCTTTTAAAGCAAGTAGGAACTTGACAATTTTAATATGACCTTTGTAACAGGCAATCATTAAACTTGTATGACCGTGACGATTTGACATCTCAATGTCTGTAATCAAATAACATTATTAATCAAATATTAATTTATATATTAATTATCTCTTTATATATAAAAATAACGTATTATATTATAAAATATTATAATTTTTTTTTTCCATTTCGATAATTCGTACCTGCACCGTGAGTCACAAGAAATCTAACAATATCGAAATGACCATCGAAACAAGCTGCTCGTAGGGGTGTGGAATGCGTTTGAGTGATTGAATTGACTCGTGCACCATGCTTCACTAGTAATTTAACTAAAGCCAAGTGACCAGCAGCTGCAGCACACCACAGAGGTGATGCGCATTCGATCATCTCGCCATCAAACATCACTATTGAAAAAATTAGAAAACAGAAGAAATAATTTGAATGTACAATTTATCTTGAATATTGAAAAATATTTTACACGAATTAAACTTTATATTCGATTAGATTATTTCATCAGTCTACATTGCTTGAAATATTATACTTCAATTAAATTGAAATATTATAATTCATGTGTGAGATTTATTGACTTTCTATATAAGTTATCCTTGATTTTACTATGATTGCTTAGCAATTGTAATTCAAAAGCTAATGATATACGTAGAAAATATGATAATGAATAATTTTTACCTAAACCAGGTTGATTAACATTTGCCCCACATTTTTCAATAAGATATTCAGCCACGTCATAATGTCCATTACGACAAGCTATAACTAATGGAGTCGTTCCATGACTTTTTGTACTGACTAATTTTACTACCTCATCCTTTTCTCGATGTTCCAATAATTCCTGCAACAGATACATTATAATATATACATTGTATGTATTAATTAATACAATTATTTTGTTTTTTCTTAAAAAAACAAAAAATTCATATATAATTATAAAATTCATATATTAAAAATTAAAATTAAAAATATAATTAAAAATTAAGAATAATTAATTATTATATTTTTAAATTATTCGAAGTTTAAATGATAGAATTTGACATGAAATCGGCATTTTTAAATTATTTGGACTATATTTAATTTTTCTTATGAAACACAGCCACCATAAAAATATTTATATACCGAAATATCCCATTTTATGAAAATATTTATAAAATAAATATTTTAGAAAAAATGAAATTATCACTGAATTATAACAAAATAAAAAATTCTTTTCCTTGTTTTTTATCAATAAATATCATTTTAAAATTTCAAATTTAAATTTCTACATTTTAAATTTTCATGAACTTACGTTTGATAGTAAAGACCCCGTGTTGAACCGGTTAAAATAAAGTTTGTCTTTGGATAAACAAGTCGTACTTTTTTAAAATTAATCGCTAACAACGCTCGTATCACTTCAATAATTTGCTAACGAAATATGAATTTTAAGCTGACGACTGAACTTGAATGAATTATCGCGAAACACGTTTGCAAATCCTTTCTTCACGAATAATAAATATGCAAAATGCGTCAATTCCTCTCTTTACGTAGTTACACAGCACACATCGAGATCTGTTCCTTTCCAGTTATGTTTCTTTATCTTTCGTTCTTACTCTATTTCGGTCTCTTTTGCATTTATTTTCATACTCTTTTCGACAAATCTCGATTTGAATCAATTCCCTTTTTACGATCTATTCTTTAATTCAAATTTTTAATCGTTAGAATCACTGTTGGACAATCAAATTTTTATAGTATTAATTAAATATTCATAATAAAAGTAATATCAGGATCTAAATACTTTGTGCTGTCTTTAAATTCTAAATTGATAATCTCTTTGAAGTATTCGTGCAATTGTGCGAGCAACAACTATGAAACTAAATATGATATTATTGATTGAAAGTTTTTATTTGTAATAATTCAATGCGAAAGACAAAAAAGAAATTAAACACCTGTTGACGAGTAGTCAAGATATTATATTCGATGCAAACTTTCATACAATATATATACTCAGATGTCAAGTATCGTCTGCTTAGACCACGTGGTGATTGCACGGTTTTAATGACACAAAGTTTACAAAGAGATGTCACGAAGAAATCCGATTCTTGCGTATCACACGTACGTGTAAATTTACAAAAAGAGTAAAAACTGAGCACAATGTAAAAAACCAAATCTTGGAATTGGCTGATCTTTCGATGTTCACACGTAACAATGTACTTTTCAACTGAACTCTTCAACCGAAGACCAAAACCCCCTTAACTAGCGATTGGACGACCACCACCGTGAACGTGTAGATCCCGTTAAACGAATAATCGATGACATTGGGCTCACGACCAGGAACGGTGAATGGACAAAATGATGTTATATACTGAAAAGAGGAGGAGAAGGGAGCAGAGGGCAAGACTGACTTTTCTCTCTTATTTATTCACTTGGCTCTTTATCACTTCGTCCTCCTTTTTGTGCCGATTTCCTTTTCGTGAATTTTTTTCCATATCCTCCTTCTTTGTCTCCGTTTCTTTTTGGCCCATCATCTTTTTTTTAAAACTTCGCGCCTGTACGCATGCGCATAGAACATTAAATGTAAACGGCACATTCCGTTACACGATTGATCAATATTTTTTTCGTAGGCCTTGCCTGTCGTTTTTTGGGTCTGCTCCGGGAAGAAAAGTAGGTAATGAGAACAAAAGGCATCGAAACGGTTTCTTTCGTAAAGATTTAAGTACGCTTAACGGTGAACCATATGAGAAAGGCTATTAAATGTCAAAGAAAACGATCTCGAACATTTAATGGATGTAATATTATAAATAATGAAATTATAGTCTCAAAAAGAAAATCATTAGATTCGTTTATGATAGAAAATAGATATTTATATTATACACGTCACAATTTCATAAATCAATTTCATAAACATAAATCAATGTATCCGATGCATTTTAATTTGTAATAAATTGGTATATATAGAAATAAATATAATATGAAACATACATCGCTAAAATAAAATTAATTTTATGATAATTATTTCTTTTTTTTTTTTTTTAAGATTGTGCGAAAAATTTATCGAACTTTTATTTCGTTTGTTTGCTAAAGAATCTTATTATTCTAATTATTAAATACAAAATTATTTTGAATAGAAGAAGACATAGAAGAAGAGAAAAGTTTAGTCAAGTTTTATTTATATCTTTGTCGAATCTTAATATGGAACTTACGTTAGGTTTTTTCTATATGCTCATTATGTATTCAGTTTGATTTTATTTTATTATTCTTTCAGAGATGTTTTAAGTACACTACAGACGTGGCACGTTTTCTGCATTGAAAATAGAGGACATTCCTATTACCTACTATATTTCCATTCTTTACCTCGTAAAATATTACATTCTGTACACTTGCACAAAGTACTTAGATTTTATAACTTTTGCTTTACATTTTATGATTGTTCTCTTTATGAAGAAAAACGGATAATATTTGTTGTGAGAAACGAAAGGTGAAGAATATCTCTGAATATCTAATAATACATAATAAAGTTGAATAACTAAAAATTATATTGAATGGATTATACGTTGTGGAATATGTGATTAAATGGTAATTGTGCTAACTTAAAATTAAGAAGAAATTAATCTTAAAAAATATATCTATCTACAAATTCCAATTTCAAATTGTAGAATAAAAAAAATCATTTTATAAAAATATTTTTAATCATATAATTTTTCTATTTAAAAATCATTTTGAATGTTTATTATAAAAATAATTTTATTATCTTAAAAATCTAATTTTATATGTTCTATAATTTTAATTGAAAAAGATTTTTTATCTATAAAGACAAAATTTTCACGAACAAATTGCAATAATTACATAATTTCAGTTAAGAAAAAAAAGAAAAGAAAATAGAAAATTACGTCAAGTATAATTGCTTCTTGGATTATTACACTTTGTTGCTTCTCGACCGAGGAAAATTATGTCAGTATTATAGAATAATTGTAAATTGCATTGATAATATGATATTACAGAATAAGATTCTATGCCATTGATTAGAATGCAAATGGCGTAATATGTTACATTTGGTGAATTATAGTACAATTAAGTAAAAAAATATAGAATAAAATTTTTTTAATTGTGTTTCTTGATTTACAAAAAAAATAATGTTGAATATGAAAGTTATAAAGATAATTACACGGATTTATTGAATGATAAAATAATTTATTCTATGTTCTTTTATTTATTTTTGTGTAAAAAAATCATTTGCTTGTACTGTACTTTCCGATACTGTAATATAAAGTTTTGGTTATATGATTAATGAATATTTCGTAATACTTAATACTATAATAATAATCTGATTATTACGTAAATATTGAGTCGTTTTTTTTTTTTTAGTTTTAAATAAATGAAGTATCGTAATCTTCTGTATATATAAGTATGTATAAAATTATATATGTAACAAAAATATATATAACATTATATTATATTGTGTTTTATAACGAAAACGAGACATTATTACTACATTAACTATAATTAGAAATGTATATTAAAAAAATGTTATTTTTATCGTGACCCGTGATATCACGAAGACAATAATTCACATTATAGATTGCAACTTCAGTAACATCAATTCCACCAATAATCAATTTTTTCATGTATATTTATAAATTCATATCATTTTTCTTATACGTATTTTTTCTTTTTTTTTTCATTTCCATATTCAACTATTTCTCTTTTTCATTTTTTCTTTTAAAACTTTTAGAAAATCAGTTTTATTAAAGTTGAATTAATTCAACTATAAATATATCTCGTTTAATCGCTATATTAAAACACGTATTTACATATAGCGAAATTAGGTTAGCTTTTCTTCATTGAAATCGTATCTCTTACGAAATTTAGCACACAAGATTTATATATAAATATTATTATTATTATTATTATATTTGAAAGTTTTATATATATATGTATTATAAATCCATGTTATTAAATTGTATTAATGTTAACATATATTAAGATAAAATACATATATTAAATTTATATTGAGAATTTCGAAGAATTAATAATAATTAATATTAATAGAACATCTTGTCCTCTAAAAATATGCATTTTTCTTTGGTATATTTTTTTAATATCTTTCTTTCTTTTTCTCATGCGAAAGTAAATAAGTGCAATTATTTGAAGGTACTCATTTTACTTCATAACAACCAGGAAAAGTAATGTTGAGGAACGCGTGTATAATTGCGGAGAAATTTAAAAGCATAGCTGCTGGTAATCCATTATACACACAAATCTTTCTGTTTTCCGTTAAATAAAATTTTCCGCTTTCATAAAATATTCCCAGTTCCTTAAAATTGTTTCTCGACATTTTATATTATATAAAAACATATGTTGAATATATATTCTAGTCTATTTGATATATTTTGAAACCTACTTTTTTTACATGTTGCATAAATAATCCGAATACATAAGAGATATTTTCTATAATCTTTCTACTCGATTACATGATTCTTTACGTAAAAATGATTTTGTCTTTTCTGAGAGATAACTCGTTGAACGATTTAAATTAATATATAAAAAAGAAGAACCTTAAATTAGAATTTTTAAAATCAACAGAGAATTGAAAACTGATAAAAATTTAGTTTTTTAACTTTTATATTCGAAAAAAAATTTCTATTAAACTGAAAAAACTTCAAAATATCACTTTTCTTCAGATATCAAAGATAACAATCAAAGATAATATTAGTTAAATTTAAAGACAAAATCTCCAAGAAAATGAAATTAATTGTATTAATGAGATTATTTGTATAAATGACTTTTTATTATAATTCAATTATTTTTTTTTTAATAAATTTTTTTATTTATGCTTAATCATAATTAATAATCTCTTAAATTGTGTATATGATAACTTTTGATATCGAACGATTATGTTGATCGAACTGAAATAAAGAAATGAGCTACTTTTGATTGATGACTTTAATTATGGTCGAAATGATTTTAATTGATTGATATTGCATTTAAACAATCGACTATTAATCGTTCAATCAAAACTTGTCAAATTTAAAATTAAATTTTTATAAATAATTTTTATAGCTTTTTTAAATCACACTTATATTTTCAATTGAAAAGTATGAAATATATATATATATATATAATATATAATATAATTATATAATATATAATATATATATATATATATAAGAAAGTATGTCATCATTGAATATCGTTTATAGTAATAAATTAAATTATATAATATGGTAATAATTAAATTATATATATATATATATATATATAAGAAACTCACCCGTGTAAAATAATCTTCATTCACCTCGTACTCCATTTTGTCGTTCTCCTTTTCTTAGACACAATTAACGAGTTTATTTTCCGTTCACGCTTTTTAATACGTTTCGATCAAGCAGCTATATATATTCGAGTGATACGAATCGATTGTCGTAATTCGAGAATCACGTGATATTATAAGTTATACGATTTTTTTACATAAAATATTCAATCATTTTAAAATAACTTAATTATTGAATTACATATTTTAATGAAACATATAAATTATAATATAACGATTCATAGATTAACATATTATTAATATGAAAAAAATTCAAATAATTCATATATTAAAATTTTTGTATAAATATTGATTGAAAGATAAAATAAATAAAAAAATTATAATATTTTTTCGAATATAAATAGATGCTTATTATAATATACACACTCGCGTACTTGTTTAACGTCAAACGATATTTTGAAAATATGGCATTCTATCATTGTTCGAACGCGAGAAAGGAAGCATTTTGAATGCGCATAACAATACGATGTACAGTGTGTAGTGCGCCGAAGTTGACGATAAAATTGAACTTGGATCGTGTGTGAGAAAATCGAAACTATATAATATATGCTCGATCGATAATCGAAAATATAAACCGACAGATAATTAACTATTGATTTAATTTTTAGAAATGAAATAAATTTATGCTATCTTCGTAAAAGAAAATGTCACTTGCTGAAGCTTGTCTAAATCGTCACTGTTCGTTCAAGACTTCCCTTGAGGTATGTGATCGCAAGATTCTAGCGATCGATGTAAAAGAGTAGGAGAAAGAAAAACATGTAGTGAAAGAGGAAGAGAGGGACCTTCTTTACCATGCGCAGGATTGAAAAAGAGGTAGTCAGTTTGAAGATAAGAATATGCATAAAATGCGAGAAAGTTGGTCCTACGTATCGATATTTATGCAATAGTCTCGACGATCGTAAACTTGTTCATGCGCCAGAACACCTTCGTGTACACTTTCTAATTGTTCTTCCTGATCAACTCTTACCGACTGTTATGTAACATAGGTTAAGTCAGAATGTATGCAAGTTATGATGTACATACATACTTATATAAATTTATCTCGCCGATCATTCTGTTACATCGGCTTTAACATCCGAGTTCATTGGAACGAAGAAATTTGATTTTCCGTACTAATTGACTGACATAGATTCCTTGGAAACCTGATTTTTTTATGGATAATTGAATGATTATCGTTTATTTGAAATACAATTACAAAATAATT